AGATGTACATAAGTAGGAAAATAGGACCCACAATGAGTCAAATCATTTGAAACTGACAAAGATGTTAGAATTTGCAGACATTATATTGTAACTATTCCATTTGTTCAAAAATCAAGTAGAGACATGGAGGATGGAAAGACACCAACCAGACTTCTAGAGATAAAGTATAATGTTTGAAATATAAAACACCGGTTGGGATAAATGGCAGATTCAACATTGCAGCAGAAAAGATTCATGAGTTTGAAGAACTACCAATGGAAACAATCCAAGATAACAAATTTTTAAAAGCATCCAATATGTTGTAATAGACTAAGGAGTGGGGTAGGAATTAGAAGAACCTATTTGAAGAAATGATAGCTAAAAATTGTTTAAATATGATGAAAACTATAAACCCACAGATTCAAGAACCACTGATCCCAAGCACAAGAAGTATGTAGAAAAGTTCATCAAGGCACATTATAATTGTTTAGTACCAATGGGAGATTAAAAAAGAGAGAGAGACCAGAGGATAAAGGCACTATTTGCAAGTAACTTGGAAACAAAGTTAAAAGATGAGGATGAAATCAGATTTCTTTTAGAAAACAAATTATAAAAGCCAGTACACATAATGTGCTAAAAAGAACCCCATCAATCTAAATTTCTATGCCCAGAGAAAATATCTTTATTTAAAGATAAGTATTTATTTAAAAATAGAACTACCCAGCAATTGCACTACTGTTTATCCAAGGGATACAGGTATGCTGTTTTGAAGGGGCACATGCACCCCGAAGTTTACAGCAACACTATCAACAATAGCCAAAGTATGGAAAGAGCCCAAATGTCCATCGATGGATGAATGGATAAAGAAGATGTGGTATATATATACAATGGAGTATTACTCAGCAATCAAAAAGAATGAAATCTTGGGGCGCCTGGGTGGCTTAGTCGGTTAAGCGTCCGACTTTTGCTTAGGTCATGATCTCGCGGTTCGTGGGTTCGAGCCCCGCGTCGGGCTCTGTGCTGACTGCCAGCTCAGAGCCTGGAGCCTGTTTCAGTCTGTGACTCCCTCTCTCTCTGACCCTCCCCTGCTCACGCTGTCTGTCTCTCTCTCTCTCCCTCCTAGAAATAAAAATAAAACATTAAAAAAAAAAAAAAGAATGAAATCTTGCCATTTGCAACTACGTGGATGGATGGAACTAGAGGGTATTATGCTAAGTGAAATTAATCAGAGAAAGACAAATATTTGACTTCACTCATCTGAGAGCTTTAAGACATAGAACAGATGAACATAAGGGAAGGGAAGCAAAAAGAATATAAAAACAGGGAGGGGGACAAAACATGAGAGACTCAAATATGAAGAACAAACAGAGGGTCACTGGAGAGGTTGTGGGAGGGGGGATGGGCTAAATGGGTAAGGGGAATTAAGGAATCTACTCCTGAAATCATTGTTATACTATATGCTAACTAATTAAAAAGCAAATTAAAAAGAGAAGTATTTATTTAAATATTTAGATAAATAATAAGATCTATGTAAAATATATTTAAAACAAAGGCAAAAAAACTTTTTCACACTGAAGCTGAAAGAATTCATCATTAGCAGATCTGTTATGCAGAAGGAAGTCAAGTTAAAGGAAGTCAAGTCTTTCAGGCAGGTAGAAATATGCTGGAGACTAAAAAAAAGGTCTGCAACTTGTTATTTAATTGCCTATAAGCTAAGAATGGATTGCACATTTTTTAAGCATCCTAGTATGTTGATGATCATTGAAGCCCGGTGTTAGGTACATGAGAGTGTTCATTATACTATTGTCTCTATTCTTATGTTTGGGATTTTCCACCATAAAATATATTTTTTTAATTTACATTACCCAAGAATGTATTATCTCCTGTAAAAAAAAAAATTTTAATTCAGGAGCGCCGGGGTGGCTCAGTCGGTTGGATGTCCGACTTCGGCTCAGGTCATGATCACACAGTTCGTGGGTTCGAGCCCCACATCGGTCTCTGTGCTGATGGCTAGCTCAGAGCCTGGAGCCTGCTTCACATTCTGTGTCTCCCTCTCTCTCTCACTCTCCCCTGCTCACGCTGTCTCTCTCTCTCAGAAATAAATAAAAAACATTAAAAAAATAAAAAATCTAATTAAGTTTTGTGCAATGTTATAGTTTAACAACATAACAAATCCTGTAATAACTCATCTTGCTACATATATCAAGGTGTTATGCAATTTGTTCTAAGTCAAATCGGATTTTGAAATCTCTACAGACTAAGTAATAAGTATTGACTCTAAATGTTATGAAATAGTAATAAATGAGCTACTTTGCTGTCACTCTGCATAGGTTTTAATTAATTAGCTGAAACTTAAAGGTAAACATACCGTATCCAAACATGATGAAAGAAAGCTTGTAAGTCACTTTCTCTTGTCTCATAATATGTTTTAATGATGATAGTAAGGTTTCATCAGTAACAATGGTGGACTAAGAAATTAGAGTGGGGACTTGAATGTACTTTTCTCCTTTTCTTTCATCAATAATTTTAGCTTGTTTCCAAGTAGCTTTTTAATTTTAAAGATCTTATGCTTTCATTTTAAAAATAGCAATAATTTGAGGAGTGCCTGGGTGGCTCAGTCAGTTAAGCATCCGACTTCGGCTCAGGTCATGATCTCAAGGTTCATGGGTTCGAGCCCCGTGTGGGGCTCTATGCTGACAGCCAGCTCAGAGCCTGAAGCCTGTCCTCAGATTCTGTGTCTCCCTCTTTCTCTCAGACCTTCCCCTGCTCACGCTGTCTCTCTTTCTCAAAAATAAATAAAACACTAAAAAAAATTTTTTAAGCAGCAATAATTTGATAAGCCCATAAATTAAATTATCTTTATTATAATCTTCTGTACTTTTTATCTTTTTAGAATGTAGCTTGAATGACGGCACCTGGCTGGCTCAGTTGGTGGGGCATGTTACTCTTGATCCCATGGTTGTGAGTTTGAGCCCCACACTGGGTATAGAGATTACTTAAAAATAAAAATATTAAAAATGAAGAATGTAACATCGATGAAGTAAAGATTTGTTGTTTAAACATTTTTGGGGGTGCCTGGGTGGCTCAGTCAGCTGAGCATCTGGCTCTTGGGTTCAGTTCAGGTCATGATCTCACAGTTCATAGGTTTGAGTCTTTTGTATCAGTGCAGAGACTGCTTGAATTCTCTCTCTCTCTTTCTCTCTCTCTCTCTCTCTCTCTGAGTGCTCCTTCCCTGCTTGCACTTGCTCGCACACCCCCTCTCTATCAAAAATAAATAAACTCTTTAAAAGTTTTTTAAAAAACAAATAAACGTTTTTCTCCATACAGTCATTACTTTATATTCCAGGTTCAGCCAATGTTCAGTCAAATGTTCAACTCAACATTCGAGTTGAGCTTGAATACTGTTTTCACTTCATACTTAAAAAAATCTTTTTTTTTTGGAAACTTTTTAAAAAAGTAATCTCAAAAGACAAAACAAAATAATCTCTACATCCAATCTGGGGCTTGAACTCACAACCCCAAGATCAAGAGTCGCATGCTCTCGGGACACCTGGGTGACTCAGTCAGTTAAGCATCTGACTTCAGCTCAGGTCATGATCTCGCAGTTCATGAGTTCGAGTCCCACATTGGAGTCTGTGATGACAGCTTGGACCCTGGAGCCTGTTTCAGATTCTGTGTCTCCTTCTCTGCCCCTCCCCTGCTCATGTTCTCTCTCTCAAAGAATAAATAAACATTTAAAAACTTTTTTTAAATAAATTAAAAGAGTCATATATTCTACTGACTGAGCCAGCTAGGGACTTCTTCACTTCATACTTTTAAAAATTAGTTTTAAAACATAGTTTATGTGCAATTTGTATTTTGTGAGATTTGTATAAATTTTATTAAAATGTTAAAATTTACAAAATCGAAAACGTCGTACTACATAGTTTCTGACAAATGGACTGAACATCTGTAGCTGAAAATCTTGATATCTCCTGTTGGTAGCAGATGGAATTCCTTCACACATTAAGCCACAAATAATTGGATTATATTAACCAAACATTTTGTTGTACAATTATGAGCTTTCCCAATAAAGCAAAGTTAAGGTGACCATCTTATACAGGAAAGCAAATGAGAAGGCAGCAATCAAACCATCCTAGCAATTCATGTTTTATTTATTACATCCTTTACATTGATTGTTTCTTACAACAGTTGCTATGGTTAATGATGGTATTTGTGGCAATAGGCAATAGTCCTTGCTCAGACTTTAAGCAAGTTGCTCTGGCATTTTCTATTAAAAAGGTTTGCTGGTTTCAATTCACAATGAGCTTGTGACTTGTTTAAAAAAGCATTGTATTATGCCATTTAGTTTGCATTTAGGGCAATATAAGACTTTGCTTAGTCTCATTTTAATGCAATGATGAGTCTTTCCAGATGTACATGTCACATAGGAGGATACTACTACTTAGTATATAACTCATAAAGAATACAAGTTGTTTAATTTGTGTTAAAACTTCCATTTTTACAAATATTAAATTCCTGGGCTCCTGAGTGGGCTCTGTCAGTTAAGCGTCCAATATCAGCTCAGGTCATGATATCACAGTTCGTGGGTTGGAGTCCCGCATCAGGCTCTATTCTGACAGCTAGGAGCCTGCTTCAGATTCTATGTCACCCTCTCTCTCTGTGTCCTTCCCCTGCTCACACTTTTTCTCTCTCTAAAAAAAAAAAATACATTTTTTAAAAATTTAAAAAACCCAGAAAAACAAATATTGAATTCCTGTAGAATATGTCAAGTGTTACGCTAGGCACTTTTACTATGTTTTTTTCAGGGATTGCCATAAAGGCTAACGATCTTGCCCATTATCACTTGGTTATTTAGTGCAAGAACCAAAGAATAGAACCTCAAGTACTGTGACATGTATTCAAATGTTCTTTACACCTACCATGATTCAAATCATTAAGCATGGGATGAAATTTCATGATTTTTTTGAAATTTCATGATTAATAGTTGTAATTTGTAATAGTTTATAATTTCTCACATTAAACTGGAAAGTATTCAACAACTGGTAATTTCTTTTTAAATGAATCTTAATACCAGTGAACTGCAAACAAACACTTCCAATGTTTTAAAACCCTGATCCAGTTGGCAGTTTCTTTCATTAACACCTAATGGCTAATAGGCTCCATTTCATAAAAACACCCAAAGCAAATACCTCATATATTTAGAACCTGAAAAGTCAAGTCAATCTAAAAGGTTTGCATTACATGAACAAGATAACTAAATGGTCTTTTTTTTTTTTTTTAATCCAATATGTGCTTATTGGGATAGTTTCCTACTTATCTTGAGTCAGGATGCCTTCAGTGCTGCTTCTGTCTGAAGGAGCATCTTTCTGTAAGCCTTGTTTTTCCTTCGGTAGGCTGGCGGAGGACCATGGAATGGCCAGCATACAAAGCTACTCTTATTGCATGGCGAAAGATGATGGTCATGTTGGCACTTCACACCCATGAACTAGGAGTTGGGGCTCTGCACCAAGTGCTTCTTCCTGTGCTCCCTCTTCTCTTCCAGGGAAGAGTGGAGGAGGTCTTTTGCAAGGCTCATGTTCTCTTGGGGGAGGTCATCGCTGTCGGATAAATAGTCTTTCTAAAGAGTGTGTCAATAGGCACTTGCAATCCTTTCCGCAATGGGTCACAAGAAATGAATCAGCTTCCCCTTGCTTCAGCCGAAAGGGTAGGCATGTGGTCTTGCACACTTCACTTGTGACCCAGAATCCTCTGAAGGCGTGCTTTGGAGAACACCCATCCATTTTATACTGCTGTCACCAGAGTCCTAGCAACTTTCAAACGCACCTCAGCTGAGAGCCCACGTTTTTTGTTTTTGTTTTCCTGAAATGCCAGAATTTCTGTGTAGTTGTGGACTTAGGGCCAAAGAGTCTCATCCCCAATTTGTGCTCCCTTCCTCAGATAAACTCTAGCTCTTCTCAAGTGGCATAAAAGTTATTTTTATTATGTTTTAAAACACTGAGATTTTCTATGCACAGAGCTCCGTGCTAAGCAGTGGGGTTGGTGAGGGGTGTGGGGAGGGGCAGACAGGTGCAGCTCGGAGGGTTTGCTCCCTGTGGGCGCTCTCTGACTCAGATATCGTATGCATCTAGCACACTGCCAGGGCGGCCTCATAGAAGTTTTACCAGATTTGCTTAGGTCACTTAAATAAGGCAGACCATCTGAAAGGGAAAAGAAATGAGTTGGACCAATATGAAACCATTGTTGCAGGGAACGAGGGATTCAAAAATGATGGTATGGCTGTACCTCAAACTTGTCCTGCCTCAGACCCCTGACAGTAGATGTCATTCATGCCCAGGGAGCTATAGGGCTCTACGTGAAAGTTATTGCACTAAACTCATGAGGCTGAAGCCAACCCTCCTTTAACATTATTTCACAGGGAAGAAAGCCTTTCTTTACTACTGTGGCACCTAAGCTCGTGATGACAAGCAGCACACGGGGCTCCGAGGATGAATGGGAGAACCACAGTGGGTCACTTGTCACGCGGGGCAGTTGCGTAGCTACAGTGGGAGAGAATATGCTACTGAGCATGTCAGAAACATCCTGGGCGGGGGGGGGGGGGGGGCCGGGGGGGCTCAGTCGGTTAAGCATCCGACTTCGGCTCAGGTCATGATCTAATGATTTGTGGGTTCCAGCCCCATGTTGGGCTCTGTGCTGACAACCAGCTCAGAGCCTGGAGCCGGTCAGATTCTGTATCTCCCTCTCTCTCTGACCCTCCCCTGCTCACACTGTCTGTCTGTCTCTCTCAGAAATAAATAAAACATTAAAAATTTTAAAAAAAGAAAGATCCCTGGGGAACCCAAAACTCTCTGTAGTAATGGTGGATTTTGCTGAAGCTACAGTTCTTGCACCTGCTGGAAGAGCAATGAATCGTTAAGGTTCGTATATTAATGATATTGTGACCTCCCTTGCACCTGTGGGCTCCTGGGGCCTGGGGAAATATGGTTATATAAAGATGAACAAAAGTGTCCCTACTTCTATCCTTTTAAACTTAATTTATTTTCTTTTTAAAAATATTTTGAGATAGAGATAGAGTGAGAGCAAGGGAGGAGCAGAGAAAGACAGAGAGAGAGAGAGAGAGAGAGAGAGAGAGAGAGAATGAATCCCAAGCAGGCTCCTCACTGTCAGTGCAGAGCCTGATGCAGGGCTTGAACTCGCGAACTGGAAGATCATGACCTGAGCTGAAAGTGGACACTTAACTGACTGAACCACCCAGGTGTCCCCAATGTCCCTACTTTCAAAGAGGGTTCACTGTAGTGGGGAAGCAAGAGATATTCATATCAATGAAAATAAAATGCATTGTACTCACTGGGTATTGTAAATGAGGTATTGCACTGGGTTCCTCACTGAACAACACATAGGAGTATTTGAGTCCTATTCTGTAGAAACTGGAGTGCTGTTAAATGTTTTGAACTAACGGAGAGTCATTTATCAGATCTATGTTTTGGAAATACTTTTTTTTCCCCATATTTTATTTTATTTATTTATTTTTTTTCTACTTAATTCCTTTTATTCTTTTTTTTTTTTTTACAAATAGTTTATTGTCAAATTAGTTTCCACATAACCCTCAGTGCTCATCCCCACAAGTGCCCTCCTCCATGCCCATCCCCCTCCCCCCCACATCCATCAGTCCTCAGATTTTGTCAGCATTCAAGAGTCTCTCATGGTTTGCCTCTCTCCCTTTCCCCCACCATTTCCGCCCTTCTTCTCCCCCTTGTTCCTCCGTCAAGTTCCTCCTAATCCTCCTATACATGCAAACATATGATATTTGTCCTTCTCTGCCTGACTTATTTCGCTCAGCATAACACCCTCAAGGTCCATCCATGTTGCTACACATGGCCAGATTTCATTGTTTCTCATTGCCATGTAGTATTCCATGGTATAGATAAACCACATCTTCTTGATCCATTCATCTGTTGATGGACACTTAGGCTCTTTCCATGTTTTAGCTATTGTGGAGAGTGCTGCTATGAACATTGGGGTACATGTGCTCCTATGCCTCAGCATTTCTGTATCCCTTGGGTAAATTCCTAGCAGTGCTATTGCTGGGTCATAGGGGAGTTCTATTGTTAGTTTCCTGAGGAACCTCCACACTGTTTTCCAGAGGGGCTGTACCAGTTTACATTCCCACCAACAGTGTAGGAGGGTGCCCGTTTCTCCACATCCTCGCCAGCATCTAGAGTTCTCTGATTTGCTCATTTTAGCCACTCTGACTGGCGTGAGGTGGTATCTCAGTGTGGTTTTGATTTGTATTTCCCTGATGAGGAGGGACGCTGAGCATCGTTTCATGTGTCTTTTGGCCATCTGGATGTCCTCTTTGGAGAAGTGTCTGTTCATATCTTCTGCCCATTTCTTCACTGGGTTGTTTGTTTTTCGGGCGTGTAGTTTGGTGAGTTCCTTATAGATTCTGGATATTAACCCTTTATCTGATATGTCGAAATACTTCTAACTAGTTGGGTTGGAGGAAAGATTGAATTAGAAGAAGCTAAAATCAAGGAAACCCATAGTTTAATCAAAAGGCCAATGGGGCCAAAACTCGTCTGTATTAGTATGACGAGAGCAGAGGAGATGGATTAGAGACATTTACGAGGACTATGTAGAGGCGCCTGGCTGACCCAGTAGGTGGAGTATGTGCCTCTCAAATCTGGGGTGGTGGTTCAAGCCCCATGTTGGGCATAGAGATTACTTTAAAAAATAAAATTAAAGGATGTCTGGCTGGCTCATTTGATTAAGCTACTGACTTTGGCTCAGGTCATGATCTCATGGCTTGTAAATTCGAGCCCCACATCCAGCTCTGTGCTGACAGCTCAGAGCCTGGATCCTGCTTCAGATTCCGTGTCTCCATCTCTCTCTGCCCCTACCCCACTCAAGCTTTGTCTCTCTTAAAAATAAATGAACATTAAAAAAATTAAAATAAAATGAAGAGGACTATGTATCTTATTAAATATTGAAATAATGGGGTCTAGGTGGCTCATTCAGTTAAGCAAGCAACTCTCAGTTTTGGCTCAGGTCATGATCTTATGGTTCATGAGTTCGAGCCCTGCATCAGGCTCTGCATTATCAGTGCAGAGCCTGCTTAGTTCTCTTTCTCTTTCTCTCTCTCTGCCCCTCCTGTGCTCTCTCTCTCTCTCAAAATAAATAAATTTTTAAAAAACTAGGTCTCCTTAAAAACAAATACTGAAATGAAGAGAGTGAGAGCTATTATTTATTTTATTTTATTTTATTTTTTATGGCAATCTCTATACCTGATGTGGGGTTCAAATTCATGACCCTAAGATCAAGAGTTGCCCACTCTACCGACTGAGCCAGCCATGCCCTGAGAGTGTGAGCTTTTAAAATAACCCAAATATCTTTAGAGGCAGTATTTCTTTTAAAGATATTTTTAAAAAGTAATCTCTGGAGGGGGTGCCTGCGTGGTTAAGTAGATTGAGCATCCAACTGCAACTCAGGTCATTATTTTGTCATTGGTGAGTTCTAGCCCTTCATTGGCTCACTGCTGCCACTTCAGATCCTCTGTCCCCACCTCTCTCTGCCCCTCCTCCATTCATACTCACGCTCAAAAATAAATAAAACATTAAAATAATAAAAAGTAACCTCTGGGGTGCCTGGGTGGCTCAATCGGTTATGTGTCCAACTTTTTTTTTTAATGTTTATTTTTGAGGGAGAGAGAGAAAGAGAGCGAGCGAGCGAGCAAGCACAGGAGCAGGGGAAGAGCAGAGACAGGGAGAGAGACACAGAACCCAAAGCAGGCTCCAGGCTCTGAACTGTCAGCACAGACTCTGACATGGGGCTTAAATTCATGAACCACAACATCGTGACTTGAGCCAAAGTCAGGTGCTTAACTGACTGAGCCACCAAGGCGCCCCAGCATCCAGCTCTTGATTTGGGCTCTGGTCATGATCCCATGGTTTGGGGGATGGAGCCCCCATATCCGTCTCTGCACTGGCAGTGCAGAGCCTGCTTGGGATTCTCTCTTCCTCTCTCTCTGACCTTCCCCTGCTCACAAGCACATGCCCACATGTTCTCCCTCTTTCAAAATAAACAAACTTTAAAAAAAATAACAACTTCATACATCTTTAAAAAAAATAACAGTAATCTGTACATTGAACATGGGGCTCAAACTCATGACCCCAAGATCAAGAGTCACAGGTCTCACAGACTGAGCCAGCCAGGTGTCTCTAGAGGCAGTATTATCCACACTAACAGATATGGGTTCTGGGACTAGACTGCCTGGATTTGAATCTTGACTCTACTGATGGGATTGCCTTGGGCAAATCATGTGTCGTGTCCATCTCAGTTCTTTCATCTGTGAAATGGGGATGATAATAGTACCTACACTTCATACAGTCATTCTGTGTGAATAGATCTAATTTAATACCAAAACAGTCCATAGAAGAGTCCCTTCTACTCATTTGTTTGCTATCATTATTCTAGGTTAGGGTAACTAAGTGAACAGCAATAAAAGTCACTGAAATGAAAATACAGAGGACTGGCAAACTCAGGGGATAGAGAAAATGCTGAGTTCACTCTTAGAGATAC